CACCAACTTAGTGCTACTTGGACCCAATGGAATTTCCCATTGGGAACCTACTAGCACTAAGTTGCTAACTGGTTAGCAAGATGTTTCCGACAAACTAGCCACAATAAATAAATATATATATATATATATATATATATATATATATATATATATATATATATACACACCAAAGATACGTTTTATAAAAGCGTTTGCTACTCTCCTTCTAGCTTTAATGAACAACCATTTCTTTATTTTAATATATGTATGGCTAGACACTCATTTAATTCATTTAACAGTTATTAGTACAGTTCAATAGTGATCCAATTTAAGAATCTAAATCCTGAAAGTTTAAGTTTCTAAATCCTGAAAATAGTTTTGAAATTTGAGTGGATACCAGGTCTGCTATCTTATTTATCAGAGTTTATCAAAGGTCTAAAAAACAATGATTAAATAAGATATCTGAACTTAGAACCTGGAAATAGTTTAAGGTGCTTTTAATGAGATGCCAGATAAAATGTTCTAATGAATCTTTTCTCCAGCTCTACTGAGCATGGAAGTGCTTAACCCATATATTGCTGCCCACTGCTGACCAGCTGGCTGATTTGGTCTCTGCAGGTTTTATTTAAATTGAAAATTATAATTTTCCAATTTAGACACAAGGCCATGGATAAAGATAAAAGATCATTCTTGTTTTCTCCAGTAGATGACCTGAAAAACAAAAACGGTGTTCTGATGTTGCACAACAAAGATGGGAATGATCCATAAAGTAACAACAAACAAGAAGTCTATAAGCAGCTGACAACAGGTTAACTAGAGGCCAGCTTTACCACAGCTCCTGTCAGATGGATCATGTTTGAATCTCGTTTGCTTGGTAAAAAGCTGACATCAGGCTTTTCAAATCCAGAATTAGAAAAACTGTGCAGTCTGCCTTCAATTAAAGGGGAAAAGGTCAACTGCTGTGATAGAGGGTAGGATGGATGTTTGCATGAGGTGGAGAGGAAATGAATATAAAACCACCACAATAGTGATCTGCAAACAATGTCACTGATTAAAATTAAAAGTGAACAAAATGTTGGTTAACTTTTGTAAAACCATGTTCTTATAGTCCCTTAGGCCCTTGTCACACCATGCCGATTTATCCAGCCTATGTCTGACGTCCCACTGAACTTTCTCTGTATTTTTTTCCCAATTTTCAGCATATGCAGTATTCATAACGAGTCCAAAACTTATGTCCAATGACAGCCTAAAGCACAGCAGCGTAACGCACATGAAATCATTTCATGGGCGTTAGGAAGCATCAGTTAAAGCTGCTCCCCTCAGGTGCATCGCTGCTCCTGAGGGGGCCAGGGATGCACCTGGAGGCACCCGGTCTGCATAAAAAGATGTCTTGGATCGCGGTATTAACCTAGCTGCTGTTATCTCCCGCCCCCAGCTTCTCCAGAAAGAGAAGCAGGGATGTTTCCATGTAAAAATAACAGCTAACCTGCCTTGGATGTCTGCAGGGCGATGAACGGGTGACCGGAGGAGACAGCACCAGCGAGGTCTCAGTCTCCTGCTCCTCTACAGACGACACGGCGAGCGTCGGCCCGTCCAGTTCCAGTCCTGAAGGCAGCCAGGGCTTAGGCGGCAGCTGGAGCCCAGAGGAGGGCATCCAGCCTGAAGCTACTACCACTGAAGGGCAGGATACCTCTGGAGTAGGAGGAGGAGGAGGAGGGGTGGACGCTGAAGAGGAAGCAAAAGACAGAGTGAGCGAGGTACCGCGGCGTTCCTGGAACAGCAAACGCTCTCTGTCGCCCCTTCGCCGCCACAGCTGGGGTCCAGGAAAGAACAACGGAGGAGAATCAGAGATGAACCAGCGGAGGTGAGATCTAGAAAGGAGTATAGATCTAGTATAGATCCAAAGATGAGACTTCTTCTGGTCCAGATCTACAGTTTTATCTGAGGTCTATCTTGCTGATTCCAAACCATTCCAATACATAAAATCTTTATCTGATCATCTTCAGCTGGCCTGAAGAGGATTTCTAGACTCAAAAGGTGACAGTTCTTCATTTTGATCCATCAAACAAGAGAAATAAAAAAAAAAAAAACTTTTTACCGTATTAGAAGTACGATCAAGGATCAGCTAATCAAGGAAATTAAATAATCCATTCTAATATCTTTCCAAAAAATTGGTGCATCCTTTTTCATCATCAGCCTCCTGATGTTAAAGAGATAAAGATACTGTGGTTAAATCAGAGATAGTTGTTTAATCTAAACTCCAGGGGCTAGTGTTGGTCAGTAGGTGTCAATAAAACTGATGTCTGGGATCAAATGGCGGCATTACTAAAGCTTGATGATGCCGTCTCCTCTGCATCATTTGTGGAGTTTTATGACCTGTCTTTGAGCAGCTTTCTGAGCCAGAAGGCTGCAGTCTATCAGACCACACTCCTCAACCTGAACGCATGCATGCTGCTCTCTCAGCCCAGATCACAAGCGCCATGGTTTTCAACTAACTTTAGTTCCTAAAGCCAGGCATATACTACGATTTTTTCAATCATTGCACGCAGCTACAGCTCACACTGTATGATGAAACTGCTGGGTTCGTTGTACAGTGTGAGTTCACAGCTCACAATGTCTGTGGGGCTCAACACTATGATGCGATCTAAACTCTAAAAGCCACATCGGACTCGGCTCCGGAGAGAGAAGGCGCTATTCTGACTCATCTATCCTGAAGCCAAATGAGTATAAGGGGAATATGAAGCTCACTAGAGTGAAACACGCTGCCTTGGCAATTTGTGCAATTTTGTGCTGAAAGCCCTAAAAAGAAAAGGCGACGTATTTGGACAAAGACATGGCTGAGCAAACATGGCTACTATGGTCTGTCAATTTTATAGAAAGAACTCCATTTCACTCACACGCTGCCATGCTGCTGTGTTTTCATCTGAGAAAAAGAAGATTCCTTGTTTGCGCAATGAGCGATTTTCCGACTAAATATGAAACATGTTTGAAATCAGTCTAAGCCCTTCAGTTCCAGACTTTCACATCTGTTTTCTAGCCGATTGACGTGTTTTCTGGCTTCAACTTGTTGCGTGAATAATGGAGCCTTGGCGGAAGTTCTACTGAATAAAGTGATTACTAGCCTTCATCCGCCTACGACACAGCCTATCAGCTTTGAACCACGCCTCCATGAAAGCCAATCAGCATCAAAAGTTCAGACCTGTGATCCGCAACTCGTCTGCTACCTAGTGCGCAGGTGGCAGATGGGCTGTGACTTCATTTAGATGACCCCGTTTAGACCCACCTCCAGCCCCTCCTCCACCATCGTAGCTAAAACCTCATCAGGGATTCATTCCTCCCTGACTCTTACTGCTTTCCCTGTCTAATCTCAACTGGTCGGGCCGAGGACCGCCATGTTGAGCCTGGTTCTGCCAGAGGTTTCTTCCCAGTGGGGAGTTTTTCCTCTCCACTGTCGCTTCATGCTTGCTCATCATGGACAGGTTCTCTCAACCTGTGTTATCCAAGCTGGGCTTCCATCTTCCAGGTAAATCAAACGTGTTTGATTTTCTCCCGACCTCACGATTCCTGATCGGGAGGTAGTCATGAGAGGCTGATCACCTCTGGTTAGTCCCTGTATATAACACGACGCACCATCAGGCTGAAAGTCGGGCCTATCGGAAAATTCTCACACGACTGGAAAGTTGCCCTGAAAACTACCTGAATCTGAATCCTGCTGGTTCTGACTCCGCTTGTCTCCTGTTTGGTCAAATCCTAGAACGGTTGTTTGTTTGCCGAAACTTAGAATCCTGGTTAAGTGTGATGCACTTGGAAAAAGGGTCGACGCTGACACGGCTTCCTCCTCAGTAGGATCTATATCCTCAGACCGCCCAGCTGTCTGTGGTCAGAGAAAGCTGAGAGCGGAGCAGCAAGTGTCCTCAGCCTGCAGATGGACAGGGAAAGATGGCGGCGCTTCGGACGGCTCCTCAGCAGCGAGGAGATCGACATCGAGCTTGTGTTTGAATTTTAAGTAAATACTAAATCTACAAAGTCCACCTCGTTTTATGGATGGATGGAGGAACCTATTCGTTCAATGGAAACTGGTTTTAATAGCTTTCAATAAAGAGCATTTGCCTCCTTTTAGATCGCTCCATTTGTTCTGAACATAAGTTTAAGTTTCATTTAGGAATAAAAGCACCTCGCTTAGAGCACCAACTGGAGCTGCTTTTCCTCATAATGAACCGACCACTTCACAATCTCCCAGAAGCAAACTTTAAAGTGACTTTTTTTTCACAATACTTGACTTTAAACTGTTCTTTCAGGGTTGCTTAAACATGCAAAATCAAAGTGTTTTTGCGCACCTTATTGGGACTTTGGTGCAAATTTAAACTAGATTAAAATTAATTTAAACTGCGTCAGGGGAAAAAAGGCTTAGGACTTAGAAAAATCAGGGCTACCAAGTTAACCATAGATTGATCCTTTGGAATGAAAAGAGGTCTGCCTCTCCCTGTGAGGCAGGCTCACTGTCACCTGGAGAAATGTGAAGCTTTCACCAGGACGACATCAGTTTTACATACAGAACACAAATCCACATTTAAGCGCCTCTCAAGCTCATTAATTCTAGATTAAAGGTATTTATGTGATGACACGCGGTCATGCTTGTAGCTGTTTAATGGCTTTATGCAGCAGGTTTCCTCCTCATGCACCAGTTTGACACTGGGGATTGATTTCAGAGTCGCTGCTCTTGGCATGGTTCAGTTTCAGACTTTCACATCTGTTTTCTAGCTGATTGAAGTGTTTCCTGGCTTCGGCTTGATGTGTGAATAATGTGAGAGATTCACTAATAAATCAGCCAGAGCTCCCGATAGTCCTGTTTTTCTTCAATTTTCCGAAAGAGCAAAATCTTTATTTAAAATAAACTTAAAGAATCAAATAAAGAAATTAATTATCACTTTTATGGGGTTCAGTGATTAAAATGGAGACGAGTTTAAAGTGGAATCAGCAGCTTAGACCTCTGATATCAGCTGAGAAATGCTTGCTAAGTGCACCTGTAGGTTGAAAACCTCTAAACTGAAAAAAAAATCATTGTTTCTAACCTGCACACCTGCATTGCTTCATTATCTCATTGCACTTTTCAATTAGGCAGTAAAGCCCTGATGGTCTCATCCTCAACTGAAACGGTTCATTCATCATGTTCTGCCTTACATGCTTCCTCTCAAATCACAATTCATCTTTCCCATCATGCACCACTTCCTGTCTCTGTCTCATCACCTCCAGTTCCATCCGTAGCCCTGGTGAGGGGAAGCCGGCCTTTCACAGGAGAAGGTATTGATAAGATGTTGGGAGTGATCTGTTGTCCTCATGCGGTGCGGTGTGGGCTGTGTGAAGCTGCTGCTTTTTAACATCTGCTCGCTGCGCTGCTCCGGCTTTATGCTGCATCCCTGCAGGCGACTGTGCTCCAGGAGGTAGCTTGTCTTTTCACCCCTGCATGGCAGAGCTTCGTCTCTTTTACTACAGAGGGAGTAAAGTGTAACTCGGATGCATTGCTGCAGATTTTTAGAGATCCTGTAGGGATTTTTGAAGACAATGAAAGGCGTCAGAAGGGTTTTGAGTGCAGCCCTGCAGGAGAAGAGTCTGTGCCACAGCAATAAAAACCGAATGGAAGTCGTTCAAACTGTCAAATAACTTTGTTGACTCTCTAACCTGCAATTTTTACCCAGAAGGGGATGGGAGGAAGCATTGATGAAGGAAGCAGCTTCTTCCTTCATTCATATTGAACCAGGGTAGAGTTGGATCTCATTTGTTGGTTGAGCCAAACTCTACTCGACTCATAAATGCTTTTCTTTCTTTCTTTTTTTTTTTTTTTTACCAGCTCTCAAATATCCGTTATATAAAGATTCTCATGGGTTGAACGATGTTTAAAATTCATGTTGCCTGAACAGCCTCATTATGCTTTTTTCTAGGTAGAGAGAAAGGAATAAAAATGAACTGAAAAAAAAGTTTTTGCCAAAACAAAAAGTGAAAACTTTTCCCCCAACAAACCTTAAAAAAAATATATACATTTTGCTTTCTCCTTGAATACTGTCTCTCCATTCGCCTCTCGCCGAGCGCATTTAGTCCTGATATAGACACACAGCAGCCCAGCTTACACACTAATAATAACATCATCCGTCCTTTGTGCTTGCCAGGTTCTAATTAAGACATGTCTCACATTGTCAGAGGTCGCTCCTGCAACCATATGGCCACATCTGTCGCTAAAAAAAAGCAGCGGATCCAGCTGCTGGGCCTCCACTGGTAGTTCTGGTGCCCGCCGCATTGTGCTAGTGTTACCATAAACGCTCCAGCAGTGGCAAACGATTCAGAGGCCCGATCTCTGATCTATTCATTAACTAAAACTTTTCTTATAAGCACAGACGGAGAGGAGGAAATGGAGCATCGGATTTAGCAGAAACAATAAGTTATCATTGTGTGATTATATTTATACACACTCACACAACGTAGCATGTCTCCTTAGAGTTGCCGTCGACTCTGTTTGCACTTACAGCTGTCTTATCTCTTGCATCTTTCTGTCTGTTTCACTGATATTCCCACTTGTCCTTTTCATCTTATTCCCAAACTTCTACCATGTTACTCTAAACCCTTGAAGCTCTTTCCATCAGTGCTTTGGTCTCAGCCGGTCCCTGCAGGTATGGTGTTTTTGATCTCCTCCTTCGCTCAGACCACATGACCATTTTCAAACGATGCATGTTTACAATCCACATGATTTGCATCAGCCGTTGTGGTGGGTGTGTTTCTTTGTGTGACATTTGAGCAAGTCAGTGACTTCCCTTTACACGGAGGAGAGCTGCACTGTCTGCAGGTGTTTTTTTTTTTTTTTGTTTGTTCGGCATTAAGGGGCTCCTGGCTCTGCAGGGTGAGTGCGTAGCGCCAAGAGGAGGTTTTAATATGACAGATACAGCCGCCTGCCTTGAGGATTGCTGAGTGCCGCGGCAGGCTGGTCACTGATGATGATTCTTTTAGCTCGGCCTCAGTTAGTGATGCTTGAAAGTGTTGGACTGATGATTTGCTGGATAACGTTGGAGCTAAACTACCCCAGAGGCCGGAGAAAGAAAGGAGAGATTTACTGCGGGAGCCTCCAAGCGTCGGGGAGCCCGTCCTGGAGCAGACTGAGCTGCAGCTTGCTAGCATAGCTCATTCTGAAATGTAGCTGTAGTTTTCCTCGCCATAATCATTGCTTTGGATTTTTCAGGGCCTCTTATTCCCAGTCATAGATCGGTGTAATTGGGGTTGTAAATCACAGATGGCGGGGCTCTCTGTGCTGATGCTGATGTTGGAAGTTATTTGCAGCTGCTTCAGTTGTAAATCTGCTCCAGAGGCCAGCGATAACTCAGCTGACTAAACACTGTGCAGAGCTAGCTTTGTGAGTGTGAGCGTGTGTGTCTGCCAACAGGTGTGTGCATGCATTATGGTGTATCTCGTTGCAGCAAACAATTG